CCCCAAAACCCCAAAACCCCAAAACCCCAGAAAATACAAAATAAATTGAAAATTATATTTTACATCATGAGTAAAGGCAAGATTTATTCAGGCGATAAGCTTACTGAAGAAGCTAAAGCTGTTTGAGAAGCATTACAGATAAAGGAGAGCTTTTTGAAGCCAAGAAGTTTTGAATCTTTTAAAGAAAAAGGAGTATGTTGAAAGTCTTAGAAAAACCACATTTAATTTTCAAATAAAATATTGCGCATCAAAATAAAATTTACCTGAATATTCACAAAATGTTTTCTGCTTAATTCACATGCATCTAGCTTGCTGAAGAGATTCAAAGAATCAGGTACGAACACTACGAAGACCGTCGTCACCAACTAATCTGGTCAATAGACTCTGCCCTAAAAGTACCCTCTCCCTCACCCCCTAGGCTCCAAAATCCAAATCCCCCACTCACAAATCCATCCTCACTAACAACATTTCCAAGTACACCGACGCCTTCAACTCCCCTTCCAGATCCTTCCCCCAAAAACCCGAGATTCCTCCCAGAGTCCCTCTGGACCGCCTAGAGATCCTTCACAAGCTCAAGGCAAAGCACCTCTATAATTCTGAGAAATAACTCCCTTGTCCAGGCTAATAAGGCGAAGATACAGACAGAAGAAGACCAGAAGTTGGGCGTGAAGAGAAAGTTAGAGTGTGAAAAACAACAGATACAGAAAGAAATCTTTATGCTTGAAGAACGGAAACGAGCAGAACGCTTAGCAAAAGCCCAGACTCGAAGACAGACTGTCGAGCAAAACAGATTGGAAAAACTAAAGAAATTTGAGAAAGAAAACAGACTCAGATACAAGAGCCTTAAGCTGAAACTTCAGAATATATCGAAGAAGAAGGACCAGAGACAGGACGATGGGGACAGAGAAGGTAGCGGTAGTGGTCTAGGCAGAGGAGCATATCAATCGGAGCAGAGAGAGAAGAAGGTAAAAGAAAGACTGAATAGCATAAGAAGAATTGAGAAGAATGAGGAAGATGAAGTTGAGAAAAAGATGAATAAGTATCTTAAGAAAATGGCGAAAGCAGAAGAAGTCAAGCATAATTTCATCTCTTCAAGACTTTCTTCAACTATAGATCATCTTGAAAGAGTTAATGAGAAGAAAAAGAGACACCTGAGTCTAACAAATGACTTATCAGTTAAATCAAAGCATATGAGATCTCTTACTGATAAATATGAAAGAAGCCAAAGAATTGGAGAAGACAAGCAGATTATGAGATATAATATCCATCTTAAAAGAACTACAAAGCAAGAAAGAGCACATAACAACATTTTAGCAAGGGCCAGGGAAGAAAAGGAAAGAATCAAATCTTTGAAGAAGAAGATTCTTGAAAAGGAGAAATCAGGGTAAGCCAATAAGGATAACATTTAGCCTCAAAGTGAAAGAGACAATAGATCTTGAAAATGAGCAAAGGAAAGAAATGCAAAAACTAAGAAGAGAGGATCATTACGAGAACTACAAAGTATGAAATCTGCATTCTCAACTTCTAGGTTCGTGAGAGTAAGTTCCAAAATATCTACAAGAAGAAATTGATCAACAAGTTGTTGGAAAAGAGGCACAGGATTGATAAAATAAAGAAACAGCAGAACAGGATCATGAGTTTCGTCCACAAGAGCAAGAACCCTTCTTTATAAGTTACTTAAGAGTAATACATTCTGAAAAGATATCTGTGACTTCTCATCTGCCTTATTCTCTATGAGAGCCCATAGTCTCATTCATGTGTTAAGTTCTTAAATTATAGAATTTCTTCTTTTCTAGAAATTTTAGAGAAATAGGTATTTAAACTAATTCAGCTTTGAGAAATATTGAAGGGGTTTTGGGGTTTTGGGGTTTTGGGGTTTTGGGG